GGTTTGTGAAGCAAATCCTAAAAGCATCTCCAAGGATTCTTCAAAATTATTTCATTCATCTCCAACGAAGCATGGTAGCTGTCAAATACGCTCCAACTCAAAGCATTACTGTCATGATGGAGTTCCTATTGATCCATCGTGAAAAATTGAACGATATGTTGGCACATGTCAGAATACTTAAAATATCGAATTAATATAATTGAATTTAACTTTGAAAATTAATCAAATTAACTTTCGAAAAACGCAACCTAACAATTAAAAATAGAAGGAGTGAGTAGTAAACTTAAACTAATCTATTTCAGATCTCTAGACTTTGATAAACTAATTGACAGTTCAACATTTGCAGATCTAACTTCAACGTTTGCTTCTTGTAAATCTGCAACAAGGCAAACTACCATTTGAGAGTAAAGAAAAAGGTATAATATAATGTTTTTCTAGTTTTCATTTTACATGTATTTTTGTGATTCACTTGATTTGAATGAAACATACATTACAAGAACTAGAAAACGAATTTGTATTTTTGACTTAGATAATTATAAAATGTTAGATGATTGTCATAATTTGTAGTATTCACTCTTGTTTTTAGTAAATATACTCTTTCTTAAATGTGATTGATTTACAGATTATATATTTTAGAATTTTTGCTTATTAAAAGAAAAATTAATTAGTGGCGGAAATTTGAGGTGAATTCGTGAAGAATGGAAGAAGTTGGAAATTTGAGAGTTTTACATGTGTTTTTTAAGGTAGAAGAAACAAAAAGAATCCATTTGATCTAAAATTCCAATTGAAAAGTATTAAAAGTTGTTTGGGATCTTATTGGGTAAAAAATAATAGCATGAATGTGTTTTTTCTCAAATGATAATGACATAGATGAACCAAAGTTTTAACTGATGACATAAATGAATCTTTTCTTTTTCTACAAAGTTCGATAACATATTTAAGCCAAATTTAGAATTTATAACAGCTGACATTCTTTGAACTCTTTCTTCTTGCTGTTACTTTTACTTGTGTTTCTAATTCTTTTATCCTTATTAAATGTGCATGTGATTAGTTTGAAAAATCAAATCTTTTAGATATTGAAGGCTGGTTGGATGGAAAAAGGAGAAAAATCATTGGTATGTCTATTGTCTACCAATACTGTAGTTTCAAGTGTTAAGAGCCAAAATTTTCAACTGAATTTTGCTGATGAATATGTTTTTGATTTAGCAGCTATTATTTGAGGAACAAAAAACAAGAATCACGAATCTTATTGATGATTTCTTGAATCGCTTGAAGCAAATAAAGAATGAATTCATTGCTTCAAAATTGGATGCCTTTGAAAATCTAAGAATGGAACTGAGATTCCTAAGAACATTTGTCCTGTTTGGAAATTCGATGAATTTGGATGACTTTTATGAGAGGATGTCAATGAATATAAGCAAATTCGATCAATCTATGGAGTACGTAGATAAAATAATCCTAGAGAGATACAACATGGAATGTCTTGCCCCTCTGCTGCTTGAAGAGATAAGAAATTATTTGAGTTTGAAGAATGATTATGTAGCCACAACTACAGAGATAAAATTGTTTGAATACCTCATCAGAAACCTCCATGATCTACCAAAGTATTGTTCTGATTTGCTTCTACCCCTCATGAGTGAATACAAGATTCTGCGGCAAGTATGTACACATCTCAGAGATTTCTATGAATTGGAATGCAACAAAATTACAACAACAGAATTTCTCTATGCTCGGTACCAAATGACAGTTGATAGAGTAACACAATTCTGTTTTGATCTTTGGACTGGAGAGTATAAAGAATATACTGATGATGGTTATGAGTATTTAGTCTTTGAATGCTCTTCCAAGATCACTTCTCTACTCATCGACATAATCCCTCTCGAGCTGGAGGTTCTATACATTTCTACTTCTAACCTCATCAAAGAATCAAGGTCAAAAGAACTAGAAGGATTGGTTAAGCAAATCCTAAAAGCATCTCCAAGGATTCTTCAGAATTATCTCATTCATCTCCAAGGACGCATGGTAGCCGTCAGTTACTCTGCAACTCAAAGCATTAATGTCATGATGGAGTTCCTATTGATCTTTCTCACTGATATACCAAAGCGCTTTATCCATCGTGGCAAATTGAACTCTATGTTGGCACATGTCGGACTACTTACAAGGAAGATGTCTATTCTCATGGAGGAGAGCTCTAATATGAATGAAGCAGACTTTTCAGCTCCATACTTGTTGCAAGAAATCGAACGAATGAAGGGAGATATCAAACAGATTATTTTGAAAGCGCCAGAGTCATCCCAACTTTGCTTTCCTATGGATGATGGTTTCCTCTTCATGAATCTTCTACTCAGACATTTAAATGATTTACTCACTTCCAATTCTTATTCAGTTTCTCTGATAAAAAAAGAAATTGAGATGGTGAAACAAAGCCTTGAATTCCTAACAGCATCTTTCAGGCAAACATTGGATGAGAGCACTAGTGGAGTTGTTAAAGATTGTTGGATGCGTGCTTTGGATGTGGCATATGAGGCAGAACATGTCATTAATTCCATTCTTGTCAGAGATAAAGCTCTCTCGCATTTAATCTTCTCACTTCCGAATGTCACTGATAAGATCAAGCTTATTGTGGCACAAGTCACCGGTTTACAGCTGGAGGATAAGAATGGGGATGGCCCCCTTGATGCAAAGTCTTCCAATGAGCCAATTAAGTTAACCTCATCATCATTTGTTGAGGTAACAGTAGGTCATGAGGAAGATGAAGCCCGGATCATTGGCCAGCTCCTTGATGAACATGAATCCGAGCTTGATGTCATTTCCATTGTTGGAATGCCAGGAGTCGGTAAAACTACTCTTGCCAATAAAGTGTATAACAATACATTAGTTGCTAGTCATTTCAAGATTCGTGCTAAGTGCACTGTTTCCCAAAACTTTAACAAGTCAAAGGTGTTGCGGGAGATTCTTCAGCAAGTTACTGCCTCGGAGACAAAAGAAAGTGAGGATGACCTTGCTGGAAAGCTACGAGTAGCACTACTCGATAAAAGGTACCTCATCGTCTTGGATGATGTGTGGGATATTGCAACAGGGGAGATGTTAATAGCATGTTTTCCAAAAAAGGTTGAGAGAGGAAATAGAGTTATTTTAACTAGCCGAAGTAGTGAGGTAGGTTTGAAAGTTAAATGCCATAGTGATACTCTCCACCTTCAACTTTTAACACCTGAAAAAAGTTGGGATTTATTCGTAAAAAAGGTATTTGAGGATGAAGGAAGCTGCCCTGCTGAACTGTCAGACATTGGACACCAAATAGTTGAGAAATGTAAAGGACTTCCCTTGTCTATTGTTTTGATTGCTGGAGTAATTGTTAGAGGAAAGAAAAAGAAAAAGGATTTGTGGCTTCAGATTGAACATAATCTGGATTCCTTTATTTCTTCAAACAACAATTTGCAGATGATGAAGGTTATGCAATTAAGTTATGACCATTTACCATACCACCTGAAGCCGTTGCTGCTTTACTTTGCAAGGTCTCAAAAGAGCAAACGGACTCCAGTCTCTACATTGATGCAGTTGTGGATGGCCGAAGGGCTTGTGGATCATGATAGTTCAGTGGAAACAACTCAAAGTTACTTGAATGCTTTAATTTCTAGTAGCCTGATAATGGTGGATCATATCCCCTCCGAGAGTCTTTGGTGGACTTCTGCAATGATCAGAGCTTGCTATGTTCATGATGTTGTGCACGATTTTTGTTCAGTGAAAGCAAAAAAGGAGAAGTTTTTCAAGTTAATCAATTCAGGTGATCCATTTCATGCTTCTAATTTCCTACACCGTCGTCTAACCATTCATACTGACAACAGCCAACTGCACAAAAAATGTGTTTTATTCAATTCTAATAAGTGCTTAGCTGTTAATAAGCATGTCATATCTTTGAAAGTGAGTGGTCCACTAGATGAGTTCAGGTATATCTGTCACACAAGACACTTTGGACTTGTTAGAGTGTTGCAACTGGATGACATCATTCTGGAAGATTCTTTAATTGAAGAAATAGGGTCCTTATTTCATTTGAGGTTCTTAAGCATTCAGACTGCTGATGTAATAGCTATCCCGGTGTCGTGGTTGAACCTACAGAATCTGGAAACTCTGTTCATCAATAGAAATTCTTCCCCCATGGTTTTACTGCCCAGAATATTCTCACTGTCAAAGCTGAAACATGTGAAAATTAACGTATGTTCTTTCTTTGAAGAGAAAGAGGATATCCAAAGCAGAATATTCTCACTGTCAAAGCTGTTACATGTGAAAATTAACGTATGTTCTTTCTTTGAAGAGAAAGAGGATATCCAAAGTAGAATATTGGAAT